TTAGTTTGTTCACATAGTTGTATGATCATCACAGAAATCAATTTTAGAACAGTTTCATCACTCCAAAAAGAGAGTACTCCTTAGCACTCTCTCCCATTTCTCTCACCACCCATCCATAGGTAATCACCAACCTACATTGTCTCTGTAGATTTTCCTGTTTTGGACAGTTCATGTATGTTACCTTTTTTTGTCTGCCCTCTCTCACCCAGCATAATGTAGCATTCATCAATACTTCGTTCCCTTTTCTGACTTGATAATATTTCATTGTATGAATGTGCTAATTTTATTTATTGGACAGTTCATGTATGTTACCTTTTTTTGTCTGCCCTCTCTCACCCAGCATAATGTAGCATGCATCAATACTTCGTTCCCTTTTCTGACTTGATAATATTTCATTGTATGAATGTGTTAATTTTATTTACCTGTTCATCTGTTGACAAATACTTCTACCTTTTGGCTATTGTCAATAATGCTGCTATGAACATTTATGTACTGTTTTTGTACGGTTATGTACTGTTTTGGTTTTTCTGTGGATGTATGTTTTCCTTTCTCTTGGGTATATATCTAGGATTGATATTGCTGGATTATATGGTAACTCCATTTAACTGTTTGAGAAGCAGCCAAACTATGTTTTAAAGTGGTGGCATCATTTTACCGCTTTTCTAGCAGCAGTGTATAAAGGTTGTAGTTTCTCCACATTCTCATAAACACTTTTTATTATCTGTCTTTTTCATGATAGCCTTCCTAGTGGGTATGAAATAGTATTTTATTGTGGGATTTTTCTTTATAGTGGTAAAATATACATAACTTGAAACTACCATTTTAAACATTTTTAACTGTACAATTCAGTGGCATTGAGTGCATTCACATTGTTGTGCAGTCATCCCCATCATTCATCTCTCTTCATTTTCTCAAACTGAAACTTTATACCTACTAAATAATGGCTCCTCATTTCCCCATTGTGGTTTTGATTTGCATTTCATGGTTGGCTAATGATGTTGAGCATCTATTCATGTGCTTTTCGGCCATTTGTATGTCTTCCTCAGAGAAGTGTCTATTCAGATCCTTTGGCCATTTTTAAGTGGCTTGTCTTTTTATTCTTGACTTGTAAAAATTCTTTGTTTATTCTCGATACAAACCCCTCATCAGAGATATGATTCAAAAAATTTTTCTCCCATTTTCAGTGTTGTCTTATTTTCTTGATGGTGTTCTTTGAAGTGCCAAGAGGTTTGAATTTTGATGATGTCTAGTTTATCTGTTTTTTCTTTTGCTGCTTGTGCTTTGGTGTTACATCTAAGAGACCATTTTCTAATACAGGGTTTGTATAGATTTATGGTTTTTCTTCTAACGGTTTTATAGTTTTAGCTTATCCTCAACTTTTAAACAAACTGCTTCCTTTCCATGTTGTTGTCTGTCCTCTAGGAATACAGCTTCTTAGTCAGTGTGCTCCAAAACTGTATGTGGGGTTCCCTGTGAGCTTTCATATCTCTACTGCTCTAGGAAAGCATTTTTGTTCTGGCTCCATCATTGAATTATCTCATATAATACTCTCCTTTTATTCTTTCTCTTCTATCCTCAACTGATATCTTGGTCATTCACCCACATTCAATGGGAAATTTGACCAACTCTTCCTTATGCTACCCATTGTCTATTTTCTGGGCAATTTGAGTGTCTGTATGTAATGTCTCAACAACACTATGATTTCTCACTTCCTTATATCTCTATTCCGGTGGTCATCATCTTTGTCCTGTTTCAGCAATCTGTTTCTATGACCAGATCTTGGACTTTGCTGTTCTTCAGAAATACTAAATGCTTGTATCTGTACTCTGATTATAATTTCCTATCTTTATTTTCTCCTTTTCCCTCTCTTCTTCCTTCCTTTCTCCCTCCCTCCTTTTTCTTTTCTTTTCTTTTTTTTCTTCATTCTTTCCTTGTCACACCCCCCAGCCACTTTGTTTCTCTTTTTGGCTCTACTTCTTTCCCCTTCTACCTATTCTTTAAGCTCTGTCTTAAGGCATAGTCAGCTTTCTTTCATCTTTCTTTCTGGTCCATCCTATAAATCTCTTAGTTCTATTTCCCCAGCCCTTTGAACCATTCTGGTATATGTTAGATTGGTATATGTTAGATGTTCAATAAATAATGGGTGAATAAACAGTGGATTTAACAAAGTTTGGGTAAATCCATTTATCCACCTGTTTGGCTCCTACACCAGAACTGCTGGGCCTTGAGAAAAATCACAGGTGTACATGGAGTCATTGTTATAAAGTCATAATCTCTAATTTCAACTGGTATCTCAGTACTGTCTGGCAATTTTTATGTGTCCATAGTCATTGCTCTTATTTTCTGTAACAGGTATTTTTAAACATTTACTTTGTTCTTATTTCACAATATGGTTTCTTACTCTTAGCATATGAACGTGCTTCCTAATGCACTGAGAAAAACTGAGGTCAATGGGTGGAAATTTGTTTAGCATCCTCCCTGACTTCTACAAGGGGACTAGCATCTGCTCCCATGCTTTCCTCCTAACATCTTGTTTTGGAAGGAAACTTGATCCTCTTCTCGTTCTGGGCTTGTCTTCCTATCTGTGTTTCAGGTTTTATCTTGTATACCTCCTGAGGGACCTTGGTCTATTAATTATTTCTCCTGTCTTCAATTCCTCTTTCTCTACTTCCTTTCTAACCTCAGCATGTAAATTACAAATAAATAAATAGTTAAATGCACTAACCCAAACCAAAACACATATGAGCATATAGTCAGTATTCTCTAGCTACCAGGAATCCTCTTTCTTCCCTTTCTACCCCGGTTTTTGTTATTTTGGTAAGAGTAGTCTATATTATCTGTCTCCATTTTCTTAGTTATGATTCATTAGTATGAATTTATTGCTTCCCCTAAGTTATTGTTAAATCAAGCATACTCATTTTAGTCTATACGTTATTATCTCTGTAGCAGTTGACACTGTTAGCTACTTTCTCCTCCTTGAGCTTTATTTTCCTGGCTTCTTTGATTACATTCTGTATGGAAGTCACATGGACTCCCTTGATAAAACCGGAACCTAATGGTTCCAAAGTTCCAGGTAGATGAATCTCCAGTTAGGAAGGTTTGTTGGAGACCAAATACCCAACATTCTCTGAGATTTACTTTGCCTTGGCAGTTCTCAGTAGTTATTGCTGCTACTACCATCATGAGTAGTCAGAGGTAGAGTGGAGTTTAAGTATGCTTTCACAAGCTTTTCCTTATTTCCTATAAGGCACTGAGGCGAAAGACATATTTCTAAGAGACTTACCATTGCATTTTAATTACAATCTTTTAAAAAGTTTCTTCTTGTTTTAGTCCCTTTTGTGTTGCTATAACAGAAATACCTGAGACTGGGTAATTTATAAAGAAGAGAGGTTTATTTGGCTTAAGATTCTGGGACAGCTGCGTCTGGCACGGGCCTCTATAGCTGCTTCTATTCAGGGCAGAAAGTGGCAGGGAGCTGGCGGGTATAAGCAGATCACATGGCGAGAGGAAGTAAGAGAGATAGAGAAGGTGTCAGGGTCTTTTTAAGCAATGAGCTCTTGTGGGAACTAATAGAGCCAGAACTCACTCATTAATCCCCCCTCCCCCAGGGAGAGCATTAATCCATTCATGAGGGATCCGCCCCCATGACTCAATCAGTTTCTAACACTGCCACATTGGAGATCAAATTTCCACGTAAGTTTTGGAGGGGACAGTACATCTAAACTCCATCACTTCTTATCTCAGTTGAGTTTATTGCAGCATTGTTGTATAATAATGAACGAATATAAACTCTTTCATCAATAGGGATATGGATGAATGCATTATGGTACATCCATACAGTGGAATACTAGGCAGCTAGTAAAATGAATGAAATAGACTTATATGTACTGATGATGTATAGAAAAAAAAATCAAGGGACAGGTTTATTTTATTGACTTGTGTGTGTGTGTGTGTGTGTGTGTGTATACATATATATATATATCCTCCCCTGTCATTTGTAAGAAAGAAAAAAGCTACAGAACAGATCTATAATAAATGTTTAACACTAGAAAATGTCTTGGTATCTACTTATCAGACTGTTATGAGAGATTTCATCGTAGGAGTAGAGATGGAGGATGGAGGGTGTTATGGGTTGCTTTAACTATTTCCTTTTTATATTTCTATTTTTGAATTTTTTCAGTGATATTTCTTTTGTAATAAAACAATGATAATCTGAGGATTTCTAAAGGAGAATCAACCTTGACCTATTATTCTTACTTGACTTTTTTTCTTTAGCTTTTTGGATCATAATATTACTTTGCTTTTTTCATTTTTTAAAAAAGTTCTAGCCATGCTTACTCAGTCTCTTTAATGGGCTTCTCCTCTTATTGTAATCCTGTTTATGCCTCAAGAGTTACCCTAGGAAGCAAGCATTCCTGGATCACTTGGTCTGATTTTATTACTTTTTCTCTGTGTTCCCATGGTACCCTGGGAAATCTTCCTTAGAACAAGAGCTGTATTTATCTGACTGTATTTAATGGACCTGAGTACAATACTCAGATCGTGGTAGAAATTCATTAAAAGGGTTTTTATATTTAAATAATAAAGCATAGGACTTGGGATAGATCTTAACACCAGCATGTCCTTTTGTGTAGGTTGTCATTTTGTGCAATTTTCTTGAAGCTCTGCGTGAGGAGACATGTTTTAATTAAACTTAAGAATATATCTCAGGATATGTTGAGTTTATATTGATAAGCTGTCCTCACACAACTCCAGGCACTTTATTTAAATGTTGTATGATTTCTTCAGTAATCATTGGAGAACAGGTGAGTGATAATTTCATACTTCACTGTTAACGTAAAACATTAATATAGAATATTTTTATAATATTTCCAAATGCATTAATTAAAGAAAAACTGCACTGATGTGCTTAGAAAATGAGTAACATTTATTCAAGCAGGAGGACAAATGCAAATAAATTTATTGTCTCTGTGTAAATTGCTTGTCTGTTTGTTTTCTAGGTTCAACAAATAGATCGTGTGGTAGAAGTAGTGGAGGAAACAATTAAAGGTAATTGTTAAAAGTGAAATAAGCAGATGTATATATCTTCTCAACTACACTATAAAAATACCACTTAGTTAACGCTTACTGAGTATCTTTGTAAAAGTTACTGTTTTAAGGGGTTTGGTGAGAGATTGATAAAAGAGTCATAAAATATGATTACGTTGTATAATGTTGAATATACTAATTATCCTGATATAAATTTTGTCCTTGGCATATATTTGTTTGGCTTATAAATGAATCAGTTCATATTTTTTTAAATCTTATTTTTATTTTTGTATAAAATGTGTTAAGTTTGAATCTTATATCAGAAGACAGAATTTAATCAATTTTAAAATAAGGAAATATTTTTATTTGCACATTTTATGTCACATAATTAGTTGCAGTTTTCTTTTTTTGTCTTTTTTTGTCTTTTTTTTTTTTTTTCGTGTCCGGCAACGGATTGCAACCCTCAGTGTCGCGCCCATACTGGACCGGGACCAGCAACGGGATCGCA